AAAAACTGAAATTACAAGGAAATAACATACAAGCTACAACCAGAAAATAAGAAATTGAAATATTAATAAGAGCTGAAAATTAAGAAATAATTATTAACAAAAATGAAAAATAAAAATAAAAATTGAAAGATGCCAAACCAAGTTACGTCACCATGTTTCGATTGTTAGTATCCACAATAGTCTTCGGGTGATAACTGGACCTATTCCTCCGAGATCTGACTATTTATAGGTCATTCGGGTGCTTTCACCTTTCACCTATCCCCTCTTTCCTTTTTCCGCTTCATTGGTTTAAGCGGAAGATGACCGTTTGGCCGAAGTTTTTCGCTTGATAAGAGGTTTCCATATGTTACGTATCTCTACGCTAGCTTGACTTAATGCGTTGTTGAACAACATATACGCGGCTTCCTTGAATTTTTTCCTAAACCAGCGTTCCTCTTTGTGGATGGTGGCCTGGTTTTTGTGAGGCTACTACGGATAGTGTTCCCAGATCTGAAGCGGGTCCTGATGTTATACTTGGAGGAGTTATAGGGGAGTACAAGTACTGGTTGTGGCGACTTCCCTTCCTTGTGGAGCTCTTGCTGTCTTCTAGCTAAAGCCTGTTCTATCGTCACTCTGGAGTAACCATTCCGTTATTTTCATTGTTCATTTTTGTTATTAATATTTTTCAATTTTCAGCTTTCATTAATATTTCAATTTTTTATTTTCTGTTTGTAGCTTGTATGTTATTTCCTTGTAATTTCAGTTTCTTGTTTTAATGAAATTGTTATTTTCGATTAATCTTTTATTTTTTATTTTTTTTTGTCAGGGATTTCAAATCAATTTATATTATATTAGACAATGGAAGTCCGAACTGATGAAATACACCACGAATCATTGTCAACCATCTTCAAACAAAACATTGAAATATATCAAAAACAGTAATGGCTTTAGAACGAATCCCAGCGGTATACCCTTCTTGATAGTTTTATAGTCAGAAATGTTTCCATTCACACACACACAAACACACAGATTGAGTTCTGTTACATAAATATAACTGAAATAATTTGAGTGGTAACCCTCTTACTACATAAAACTCCAACGTTTTGAAAAATTTCCTCTTCACCGGATGATGCTAACTTGGTCAGTGAAGCATGCGTCGAGAGACAGCATTTGTGTTCTGGTAAGAGAAAATGTTTCTAATGGAATAATTCCACGCCAGAGGTACCAAATTCAACAAGTCAAATTAACAATTCAGTTAAACAAAAAAAAGGGACCAAGATTGCCTAGATCTCTGAAGATAGTCTTTTGGAATGCTAACGGAATTCTTTCCAAAAGACACGATTTCGAGAAATTTCTTATTGAATAAAACATCGATGTGGCTCTCGTTCAAAAGACGCATCTGAGAAACGAATCCATTATCATTCCAAATTACAGATTCTACCACAGAGAACGTGGTGGACGTGCTGCAGGGGGAGTTGGCATCTTTGTCAAACGATCCCTTCAGTGAGTTCAAACAATCAATTAGTCCCAGAATCACTGGATGAACTGCTGATGGGAAGCAACATTCCGACAATTGCTGCTGGTGACTTTAATGCCAAGCACAGACTATGGAGCAGAGCCACAAATTGAAATGGCCAAGCGCTCCATGCGCATGTTGACAGGTATGAATATCTGGTGCTGGGACCAGATGAGCCTACGTACTATCGCGGGCAGACTAGGCCTGACGTACTAGACATCGCGCTTCTCAGAAATGTCTCTCTGACTAGCGAAATTTACATTCTGTCGGAACTGGATTCCGATCATAATCCTGGTATTGGGCGATTATCTTCCTTCTCCTGATTACCGCAAGAGATCTGAGGTACTTCGCTCTCCCGACGAACTCGACGCGGAAGTTGAGCGTATCGACCTTTCTGTGAATGATGCGTTTCGAACGGCCACCTCCAGGGAGAAATGTCCGCTGAGGAGCTACAATAAGTTTCCCCTTCGTATCAAAGCCATGATACGAGAGAGAAATCGTCTGATAAGGCTCTGTGTGCGAACCCTCTTTCCAGGAGATAAAATTTCAGCAAGTAGGATGGCCAATCAAGTCAAGCAGGCCATCATTGATTACCAAAACGAAAGGAATCCTTTGAGCATGGGAGTGACGAGCTTTGGCGTGTCACTCGTAGACTCAAGGGGAAGGAGACTGCTCCCTTACCCATTCACGGCAAACGCGGAGTGTGCTATTTCCCCGCCGATAAAGTGTTGGCCTTTGCTGACACGATAGAACGTCATTTTCAACTTAACGTTGACGACAATAACGACATCGATCGCGATATGCTGTTGGCAGACCGGGTTCACCGTATCCTCAGGGAAAATGACGATGATAACATCCGTCCAGCTTCTGTGGAAGAACTGAAGGGTTACATCAGGGCCGCAAAGGCCAAGAAAGCTCCGGGGGTCGACTCAATAACAAATAAGTTGTTGAAGAGGCTTCCGGAAAATTGCGTCAAGAATCTCCTGTATATTATGAACAGTTCGTTGACCCTCAGATACTTCCTCAGGAGGTGGAAGCATGCGATCATTATCATGATCCCAAAACAGGGTCAGAACCCGCTGTTCTCCCGATTAGTCTACTCTCGTCGGCGGCTAAGTTGGCTGACAGAGTTGTTCTCCAAAGGCTCAACGAAGGAGTTGAGGACCGAAATGTTCTGCCTGATGATCAATTTGGCTCCAGGAGAGAACACTCCACTGAGTTACAGGCTCTGAGACTGGTCGAAAATACCATCGCGGAGCTGAATCGCAACAGAAAAGTTCATGTCGTCTTATAAGACATCTCGAAGGCCTTCGACCGTGTATAGCACAAGTTAATCACGTTCGACCTGCCTCGGGGCCTGATCCGGTGGATTGGGTCTTTTCTGAAAGACAGAACATTTCAGGTTAGAGTAGAGGGCTCTCTGTCTGACAACAGAGAGATCCTGGCTGGAGTACCACAGGGGTCCGTGCTCTCCCCGACTATGTACTCACTTTACACCAGTGGCCTTCTGAAGACTGAGCGTGTGAAGATATCCCTGTACGCCGATGACACGGCACTACTCTCATCTTCCATGGGCCGGAAGCTCGGTGTCGTCTATATGCAAGGTGCATTGGACGACCTCGAGCGCTGGTACCTGGATTGGAAGATCCAAGTGAACCCGGACAAGACTCAGGCGATAACTTCTAATAGACCGTAGGCTTACTTGGAACCCGCACATCATGTGCGTTAAAACAAAGATCAAGGGTCGGATAGCTAGTCTGTACTCTCTGATCAATAGGAAATCCAAAATCAAAAACAAAATTACTATCTACAATGTGATGTTTCAAACCTGTCATCATGTATGCTTCAGGCGTCTGGGGACAAGCGGCTAAGTATAATATCTCCACTCTGGAGATATTGCAAAACAAGTTGATGAGGATGATTGTGAATGCTCCTTGGTTCGTGCGGAATGAAGCCATCCGCAGAGATTTGCAGCTACCTTCCATTCAGCAGTCCATTCAGTCGAGGAATCAGCGAGTTTTTGTTAGGGAAGCCATAGACGTAGACGACCCCTCCCTGATATAGAGGGCCCCGAGTGAGGCCCCGAGTGAGGCCCCGAATGAGGCCCATATGTCCTCCGTTAAAAGATGAACAATATTTTCATCCATCTTACCCCACCTTCATCAGTCATGACCCATTTGTCTCTCTGACAAACATCAGTCAAAAGGGTACGGGATCCAGGCTCCAACCTGTACAAAATCAAGATGGCTGTCACCGAAAAAAAGGGGTTTCGCTTTTTGCAAATACCTCAAATCTGCAGACATTCAAATTTTTAAAAAACACACCTCGAACTGTAGCATCAGTATTCATAATATTACTTGAGCGGTAAAAATACGGGTGAAAACGAGTAATTCGGTTCACAAACGCCCCATTCGGGCACTAAACTAGAAAAATAGTTTTCATTAAGTCAATTGAAAATTGAGTTTCGTGTGGATTAGCCATCAACATAAACAATCAAGTTCTGGAACGTCCTGACACACTCACTGATCTAGGTGTTACTTTTGATTCATCCCTCTCTTTCAATAAACATATTGACACTACTCTAACAGCAGCTTATTGCATGTATGGATTCTTTGTTAGAAGCTTCAACATTGAAATAACTTTATTTCACTTTTGTTCAATCTATGCTGGGATATGCATCTGTCGTGTGGAGTCCCTACTATCAGGTTCAAATAAATGAACTAGAAGCCCTACAGAGACGCTTCCTAAAATATATGTCTTTTCAACTTGAAGGAACGTATCCTACTGTAGGAATACCCTATTATGAATTGCTTGTAACTCACAATTTTTGTAGTCTCGAGGTAAGGCGTGAATATTATTCATTTCTTTTTTTATTCAAGGTCATAAACAATATCATCACCTGCTCTCAACTGTTACATATATTGAATTTTTGGGTTCCTAGACGGTCATCTAGGAATAGTGCCACATTTTATCTCAACACTCCGCGTACAAATATAATGAAAAAATCTCCAATTTATACAATGTGCGATACCTCTGATTCTGTTAATCATGTCCTAGATATATTCAACTGCCAGATCATACAAATCAAAAGACATTTCTCAGCTAACTGAGAGTTCTGTTTTTTTATATAGATTCACAAATTATATTATGTAAGTACATATTTGTAAATGCCACTGTTACTCCCTATTCTGTAATTGGGTTCATCCTGTAGAATAGTGTATGAAATAAATAAGTAAGTTACTGATCATCAGTCGAACCTTCTTGAATTTCTATAAGGTGAACTCACGAAATGAGAGAAATTCCCTCTATTAGTTTGATAATTGTTTTCAAAACCATTCTGTGTGGTCTGCGTTTTATTCTTGAAATAAAAAAAATCTGTTTGTATATCAATATTGGTAATAAAAATCGGTAATGATTCACAGTTCATCCTAATCATGTTTGGTTTCTTGTTGATATCCCACCAGATCCACTTTGTATGTTCACACAAATATATTTTTGATTGCAGGTTAGATTTCAAAAATAAACACTTCTATTTCAAAGTTTTCATAGATGAAACGAAAGTAGTTAGCAGGTATGAAGTCAGTGGCAAAGTGGCATCCATCGCTATAGAAGGAGAAGGACCTGCAGAAATAATTTCAAGTAAGATTGATACTAACGATAATTATTCATATCGATTCAGGAATCATAATTGATTATTTTTATTCATCGACCTTTCCTTGTTAGTAGTACGTCTCTCAATTATTTTTTATTGTGAAAGTGAACTATATATTCATTTTTGGGACAAAAAGGTTTTGACTACCTCACCATGTTTATACAAAAAATAGGGAATCTACCAAAGAAAGAAAGAAGAAATCAATTTATTTCAAAATGGATTCTCCACAAAGATGTGTAGATCATGCAAAGTAGTAAATTTCAGACACAAATTGAAAGAAAAAGCCCGATCGAAATAACTACTTCCATAGAAACATTGAATCCCATGAAAGAAAAAAATAGTTTCGAAACGAGTACTTTTATATAAACAATGAATTATAAAAAAAACACTTTCTCCTATTCAGTTTGTAATCCAAACATTCATTATAAAATTGATATCACATATCAGTCACAGCATTGTTACACAATATAGTGTATGGAAGAGGTAAAATGTCACTTACATGGAACACTGTCATCCTCAATGGTGGACATCCGATGTTTCGTAATAAGGCACTTGCCTCTTCGAACTGCTTCATCTTGTAATATTATCCAGATTGGTGCTGAAGAGGCAATAAGGCAAGTGTTTCATTCTAAAACATCGGATGTTTTCCATTGAGGATAACAGTATTCCATGTGAGTGAAGTTTCACTTCTCTAATATAATGTGTAGCAATCCAGTCAATAATTTCTGATTCAATTCCATAACGAATGTTTGGAATACAAACTGAATAGGAAAATGTTTTTTTGTATAATTCAATGTTCACATGAAAGTAGTTGTTTGAAAAGTTATTTCGAGAGGACTTTTTTTCCAGTTTGTGTCTGAAAATTCTCTGCATGATCTATACATCTTTGTGAAGAGATTATTTTGAAATTAATTATTTACCTATTTTCACTTTTTTGTATAGGTACAGATAGAAAAGTAGAAAGACGAAACCTACGAAAGTGCAGAAGGACCGCATATTTTTATTATTCGTTTCTTGGAAATTATGACATTGAAACTCAAAATTTCGCGAAAATTCAAATTCAAACTCTAAATTACTTATTTTCAACTCGAAATTATGAAAAATTATTCTCTTCTGAAAGTATACATCTATTCATTTAAACAATATACACGTATATTTCTCTTGTTGGAATTGAAACTATGGTTAACAGTACAACTCACTTCACACAGTGTGGAATATCCAAATGAAATAAAATACTCTCAATTACTCCAATCATAGTTCATACCAATAGAACATTTTGAAACAGGTCAATTAAATATTTCAAAATAACATCCTATACTATTATATTTATGTCTATTATATCCTATTATATATATTGTAATATATACTATACTATTATATCTTATATTATTCTATACTATACTATTACTGTTTTACTCAAATGATAAATTTAATCATTTCTTTGGGAAAAATTATATAAAACAGACGAGAAATAATGACCCATGCGCAACTATTTGGTCCTAAATGGGTTTTCTCCGTTTATTCGCAAATGAGACCCAAAGTTTTGTTATGCCATTATTGTAAACATTCTGATGTGGATATTATTATTATTATTATTATAGCGTGATAATTTCATCACACAATCCTGGAGTCAGGATTGCGAATTTTATTCACATCACAAATTATTGGATATTGAAAAAAATATAATTATCTGATTGACTGTGAACTCAATGAGTAATATCGCATAATCCTACACATACTTTGAAAATTTTGAAAATGTTTTTAATCATCTTGAAATATTCATTCTGAATGGCTTTATCCCATCCGGTGAGTTCTATGAAGATTATTTTCTTAAAAATCATTATAAAACTTCTCAAAACATTTTTGTCATTACACAAACATTGATATTCATTAAGAGCGTTTTCCCTTTTTTTCACAATCTCAGTATTTCTGAATTTCAGAGAACGGTAAATACGATTACACAATATTTCCATAAATGGAAATATTGATTATTTTATACTTTGGAGTCCACTAGATACTCGTTAGGACAACAAGAGGATTGCTCCGAATTTGTGGGGTTCTTGTTGAATACTCTTTGTGAGCAAGAAAATAGCAGAATCAATACTCCTGATCTCTCTGGATTGAATGATTCTGTACAGTCTATCTCGTCTTGTGTTTGTAGATCTTTTGCTGAAAAAATCCTCACCTATTTACTTTTTAGTAAATGTTCAAGAGGTAGCAGAAACGTATGTGATTTTCTGGAACTTCAACTAGCATTTCCTAATATGACTGATAACCAGTCCGTGCAAAGCTTATTGTTAAATCATCTGAAAATATAACTTTTAACGGGTGATGGTCAACTGTATTGCCAAACATGCACCAAACTAACTGACTATTATAAGAAAACAAGTATAGAGAGGACATTGGCAGATAGAGATTTTCAGATGACGTGGTGCTGCAAGTTTTCCGGGGTTTCCTGCAGCTGAAAAAGCAAATGCACCACTGGAATCAATGAAGTCAACCCGGAGCGCCAATAAATTTTTGTTGTTCAATAATTTCATGATCTATATTGATATTATATCATTTTTATATATGGTATAACTAATGATTAAATATGAAATAGAGTTAAAAGAACCTATCACTATTTCTATCACCTATTTCTGGATAAGAAATTTTCCATGCCGTCTGCGACTTGAGGAGTATTTATGACAACTTATTGTATTTAATATTTCAGCAAATATAACTGTCGAATATTTCTTCGATTACGACCTTATAACGAAGAAAGATGGAAAGCAGTATTTCAATCTGGACACTTTGAAATCTAATCTCACAGCTCATGTTGAAAAAACCCATTACAACTTCGGAAACTTGTTCGGAGGTAACAAATTATTGGGTAAGTATTGTTTATCTGTCTGATTATTCTCAGTTCAACTTGCCCCAAAGCATAGATATGCGTTTTTCTTCACATATTCGAAAAGTTTTCGGCAGTCAGCGATCTGAGGTTCTGAAATTCGGAATGAACCACTTCTAAAGTTTTGAGTTGTTCGACACTACAGCTTAGACTTTGTAACCATTTTCGAGAAATGGAAAGTTGGCTACCCTGAGGTGTTAATTGCCTACTGCTAGACTGGTGACACGCTGTTAGGATGTTTGTGACTTGACGCCGTGGTCCAACTGCCCAGGTCTCGTCACTTGTCTTCGCAAAAATAATTAAAAAAGTAATTGATGAAAAATTAAATCGTAGAGAAACAACCATCGGGCAAATAGAACAATCACCACAAAATAAAAAATCCTTCTATCGAAGGTGTTGCCTACAAAATAGGGAGAATATGGGAACGGCAAAATATCCCGACGTGTCACAAATAACGATATCGACGTTACTAATCAGACCAAAAGACTAATTTCCCTTGACTGTGGACAAGAATATATTGGCCAGACCAACAGACAAATATCTGTCAGATCTCAGAAGCACAAAAAATGTGTGAGGACAAAGCAAGGTATCGCTGCTCTCTTTCTAGACTACTCACTGATAGGCCACAAGATCAATTTCAACTCCACAAAACAGAACAGATATAAAACCTGAGAATTCAACACTTAAGGAAGCTTTAAAAATTTCAAAAAAAGGTAATTGATAGAAAAGATGACTCATTCAATATCCCTAGAATCTGAGAAACAATAGTTAGAACCTAAACCAAAAACGACAACCAAATATATAATAAGCCATCAGAGGTAGTAGTGGTGAAAAAGCCGATAACAAAACACTCAACATATAAAACATAACAAGAGTAATGTAACATCAGTTACTTCTCACAAATCTTGATAACGCCATCTGAGATCGTGGTGAAACTTCGAACTTTGAAGAATATATAACGGATGAACACACACATTATAGTCAAAGTAAACATTAAAAGTTAGCGGTACTCTCAAAGGCCAGAAAACCGATACACAAAAATGAACCGGCTGCGAACTAGTCCACATGGACTGTGAAATTGGCGGTTTGTATTGGATAATTTTTACTAACCAAGTTTTATGATTGACTGAAGAGTCATAAAATTAAATTTGAAGTCATGTTACGGTTACGAATAGAAATCGGGAATGCGGAGATGTTTATCGTCGTCGTGTTCAGTTCAGCAACTAATCACGATTTGAGTGTTGAAATTCGATTTTTATGCAGTTATAATTACATAAAATTTCTGTTATCTGTTCAAAATGTGGCGTCCTTGGACAAGTACTAATAGTAATAACGAGTGTGATAACAACGCAAATTTTTTCCAGTGTAGTGATTTTAATAGCGATTGTGAACACTGCGAAAAAGAGATACAAGTGAATAAGATTCGGATGTATTTGAATATTGAAACACAGAGAGTATGTTTCAATGTATATAAGAATCTACGTCTCAAGTTTGGTTTCGAGGGAAACAAACTATTACAAGCAACATCAGATTTGACCGAAATTCCTTTCTCAAATGTACGTAAAATAATCAAAAACAAACCTTATGAACGCAAGAACAGATGTGATACAGGATTACCAAAACCTTTTGGTGTTCATCTAATAAAATTATTGAAAGAAACAATATACGACTGTTACAAAAGCAATGAGGTTCCTACAACTGAAATCATAAGGAAGAAATTGAATACTTCCGGCCATAACGTCAGGTGCCTGGTGCTGTGACAAAACTCTTCAGAATGGGATGAAGAAACTAGGATTCAGATTCAAAATAATAAACAAACGTCAAGCAGCTATGAAAAGCAGAAGAATAGTGGAATTGCGTAACAAATACTTAAAATAAATAACCAAATATAATCAAGAACAACGGCAAATTTTCTATTTGGACGAAACTTGGTATGACATTCACGACAATAGTTCGAAGATTTGTACTGCTAACATGCCTGCAAACAAAGGATCGCGACTAATCATTGTGCATTGCGGAGGAAGTTGACGAATAGGTTCCGAATTCTTTGAAATTATGTGGAAAAAAAATTAGGAACTGTCATAAGAGCATGAAGCTAATATTTTCGAGGAATAGTTTGAAAACACATTGATTCCAAATTTGGATACGAATAGTGTAATAGTTCTTGACAACGCTTCCTATGACAGCTCATCAAAGTATCGAATAAAAATTCGAGAAAAGATGAAATACAAAGTTTTTCAATGGTTAACAATTTGTATTTTGAAGATTACTATACCAAAAATCAACTACTTGAAGTTTTACAGACAAAAACATTTGTGCATACAGTGTATGCCCTTGAGAGTATTGCTGTGTTTTCAACCCCACCAAGCTGATTTGGTGAAAATTAAAACAAAGCATCAGGCATTAAAATAATTTCCGTCTGAATATCGACACTTATTCAGGACACTGAAAACAAACACAGTAAAAAGATAACTGTACTCATACAGTACTCATAACTGAATTGAGGAAATGTACTTCGAAACTGATGATTGCAAAAAATATTGTGCAATATGACAATGATGTCATATTATATATGACATTATGTTATGACATTTTCATATAAGTTGTCTATCACTGGAAACTGAATTTAAAATCCCTCTTATACTAAATATTACTTTGCAGCTTCTGAAAGTGATATTAACATTATATTTCTACTTTCATTAGTTGAAAACGAATTTGAAAGTAGTGCATTTTCTTTGAATTAGGTATGAAATCCTTCTTTGTGTATTAATAATGATAATATAACCTTTATTATTTCATAAACAAAAAACTCAACATAACTCATAAATTCAAACTAGCTATTGAAATAAAGGGCGAAGTTCATCATCCGTAATAAAATACATTGTATTACGAATGATGAACTTTGCCCTTTATTTCAATTGCTAGTTCGAATTCAAGTTTTCCTAGACCTCGCTAAGGCCTTTGACACAGTATCATATGAAATTCTACTGAACAAATTGAGTCACTTCGGCATTCGTGGTCTCCCACAAATTCTAATGTCCAATTATTCGACAAATAGAGTCCAGAGAGTAAAAATTAGGAATGAGGTAAGTACGGAGTCAATAGTGAAAATCGGAGAGCCTCAAGGAACAGTGTTGGGCCCAACACTGTTTCTTGTATACATGAACAATATAACAAAAACAGATGGTCTAGGACACCTTATTTGTTATGCTGACGACACAGCCTTGATCTGCGCTCGAAAGAATTGGGAGGATGTTAAACACACCACTGAAACAAATTTACAGAATATATATGCCTGGTTGAATTTGAATGAGCTCACCCTAAATATTGATAAGACTAAATTTGTTGCCTTTACATCAGCGGTCATTAGTCAAGCACATAATTTGTCTCTGAAACTACACTCTATAAACTTTCACCAAAATGTACGTGGGTATTTTACTAATAAAAATTTGTCATCAATTAAATATTCAGGGGTAGTCCTAGACCAACACATACGATAGTCTGATCATATCATGCACGTAAACAAACGCCTTAGAACTCAGTTTTTATTCTTTAAGAGACATCCTCTCCAGAAAACACCTCATGATGCTCTACAACTCCCTAGCCGAATCAATTCTGTCTTACTGCATCACAATATGGGGTGGAGCTTTCAACACCACACTGAACATTATACAAACAACACAAAACACACTATTGAAACTGAAAAAAATCAGGAAGCAAATATATTGAATGTTAACCTATTATACACTCATCAATGTTTGAAGAGAATGTTCATAAATCAAGAGAAATTCAACCAGAAAAATACTAGGATAAACAGGTCTACCACAAACATGAATGTTAATGTCCATTATTTTAAATAAACATTAACACAAAAAACATTCTTTTTTTTCGGTCCCAAATTTTTCAACGCCTTACCAATTGACCTAAAGCAGATTTCAAAAATGAAGAAATACAATATTGGAACAAAAAAATATTTCATGAATTATTCTAAGAAATTGTATGATATACTGAATAAATAATCAACCTAAAACAAAAAATACCAAGTGTTGACATCCTCTCCCCTGTGTTGATCACATCCGGAAGTGAAATATTCAATATCAGAAACATTGTTTTTTTGCTTATCCAACATGTCAAATAATGTATATTTAACTCTAAATTTCTCTGATTGAGCACTAGGCAATTTTGCCTAGGCTGAAACGGTCGATCTTGAAATTTATTCTAAAGAGCATTCCTTTAAGATTCGATATTCTGTACTCTAATTTTAAGGAAATAAAAGTTATTATAAGTTATTATGTTGAGTGCTCGTTTTGTTCATGAAATAATAAAGGCGATATTATTATTATAATTTATATTTATACACAAACACGAATACCAGGAAAATACCTCATTCAAACTTCAATCATTTATTCGATACACTTTCTGCAAGATGTCATTTAAAAAAAATATGCACTTTTCGGGAAGTACCCACTTCCTGGACGCTTTCTCTTTGAGAAATTAGCATTTTACCGGCGTAGTCCGGGAAGTACATGATTCCAGTTGACATTTTGATTTTTAAAAAGTTTGCATGGTTCCAGTTTGCAATTATCGCAATAAACTATGAAAAACAGTAGTGATAGTGAGTTTGAAAATGTGCCTTACAAAATTCCCAATGCAGCAGTCAATAATTATGCAGCAGTCAATATTTATGCAACACAATCAAAGTCCAGGTATAAAAACGTTAATGATTTGTTTTTACTGTTTAGCACGCTTCTTATATGATGCTAATTGTTTTTTATAGTTATGTTCATATGTATACAAATAGTCTGAATGACATGTTTTTATAAAAACAGTTGTTGTTGTTAATAAACAAGATTATTTATTCTGTATCCCGCATTTCGATTCAAAGTTAAAATACGTTATAACTCTACAATTGGAGAGGTTATAGGCCCAGAATTCTAAGTATAACAGTTGAAACTGGAGTTTGAATATCTACCAAATTCAAATCACCGAACATACCAAACTTATGGCTTGTCGGATCATTTTGGTGTATGGCTCGCCAGCTTCCTGAAAGAACGGTCCGTGAAAGTGGCCGTCGATGGATATCTCTCGAATATTTTCACCATCAACGCTGGTGTTATCCAGGGATCCATGTTTTCTCCAACCCTCTCTTCATTGTATATCAACGACTTATTGGAAAAAACAAGAATCCAATATATTGCTTTGCTGACGACAGCACACTTGTCATTCCATTTGGTTGTCGAATATTCAAGTTTCATGTTTACACATAGAGGGCATCAAAAGCCTTTTCAAACAAGGATGTCAATACGTCAGCTATTCCTGACGAATCACTGGATTCAGCCATGGCAGAGTTTTTTGCCTCAGGTTTGGGTACATCGCATGAGCGTGATTGCAGGACCTGCTCTGAGAGAGTTAGTTTCCTCCCGTGCTGCTTTCGCTGCTCAAGAATTTGTTGTAAGATAGATTCATGAGACATCCTGCTCTTGAGAAGATGATAAGTCGCTTTCTGGCTGCACCACCTATCATCCTAGGTTTGTTCAAGATGGAAAACTTAGAAGCTCCTCCTCTCAAACCCATATGACATAAATTACAGTTGGGGTTGTTTGGTTAACCTCCATGTCCTCTGTAAATTCATCTCAAAAGCTGGACAACTGAGAAGTTTTTACTTTTGATCATTTGTTATGGGGAGTATAGATAGTGTCGTTCATACGACATCCATGTTTTCTTTGTAGACTCAGGTTTGGAATTTTTGGTTACTATATTATTATATGGTTATGGTTACTATATGATTATATGGATCCCCGAAGTAATTAGGGAAAAAAGATCCATCACGGCGATGAAAAAGCGCCCAGTATCTCGGAGGTTCCGGCAGTGACACTGAGTGGACTCACTGCAAGTCACGAATATTTTGAAATATATGATGAAATGGGCCAGTACTTGAAAATCCTCAACGTATTTGAGTCGACTGTCAGTGTTAGATTTCCATTGAACTTTTCCTACTTTTTCCATTTGATGATATCTTTTCTATATCTGGAATTTCTGGGCTATATCTACTCTATAAGTCACTCCGTCATGTTCACTAAATATAGATCAAAGCAATTCTGAAATAATTCGTTTTTGTTACAGGTGATAACTTCAATAAATTTTTGAACGAGAACACCCACGAACTAGAAGACTCTGCTGGAAAATCGAATAGAGAGATAATAAATGCAATAGTTTCAAGTGTTTTCCAGGGTATTTTTAAAAATGTGTCATTTGACGAAATGTTCTTGGATTAGATAAGAATAGGTTTTTTGTATTGTTGTTGAGTTGAATATTTCTCAGAAATATGAAACCTATATTATCAAATTTTGCTGAACTATTGAAATGAAAATACAATTTGTTGATGAAGATATATAAAGTTGAGTAGAGAAATAATTTTTTCAGGAATGTTTGAAACAAATCGATAGATATATTTTTGGTATCAACGGTATCGTTATGTATGGGAATAGATTCATTCATATGTGACTGAAAATTCTTTTTTTACTTTTAAAATATTGGAAAACTGTTCTAAGTTTTTCATTCCACCATATAACATATGAAACTAGTTGACGATGAAGAAATGCGCGTGGTTTCCCAATGTCATATACTGGAAGGTTTTTGTGTGAAGTCATGATTTTTGTCGTGTTAAATATATCCGAAATAGTCAAAAATCTAACAGCACTCCGATGAATGATTCCACTGATTTATGTAATATAAAACTTCAAAGAAAATATTGTAGTCAAACAGGTGATATCAAAACAGTTTTTGCACTGAAACCTGAATACCTGACTACGAATAAACAAAAAAAAAGTTATGATTTTGACCGGTAAGTATAGGATATTTAATTAAGTGCTTCCTATATTTAAATTTGAATGAAACAAAGTATGTGTGAGACTTCATCGAAATGTTTTATTCGTTTTTCTACTCCCTTCATTTTAAACTAATCATTACGTATTTGACAGCAGATAGGTAATGGCTCATTTAGAATACACGTGTATTCTAAATTAATGGCGGCCACTTCCATGAGAAATTTAAAAAAATGATAAGGTGTGTAACATTTTCTCTGATAAATAGGATCTCATAAATACATTCAATTATTCGAAAACCAAAATCAGTGAACTTTCTCTTCAAATTCTCTGTAAAATCAAAATAAAAATAATATTTTCAGTAAACAGTTTGTGGGTTGGTAATGACTATAGTTATATCCGTGAATCAATAACCACTTGTTTTAATTATAAGCTGTCATTTAGTATCTCGTAAAAAGTCAAAATGAGTGATAACGATCAAGAAATTTGTGCTACCCCAACATACTACCGAGCAAGCAAATATTGCCATAAATAATTGATTCGCTGCCAGCAAAATCGATAGAAAAATACGAATATAATTTCGAAAATTTTATGAGTTGAAGAGAGAAAAACATAACTTCGTTTTCCGAAAACTTTCTTCTCGTTTATTTCGAAGATTTGGGAAAAAGTTTGAAACCATCGTCATTATGGGCAATTTACTCAATGCTCAAAAGTACCCTGAATTTCAAGAAAAATGTGGACATCAGCAAATATTCCAAATTACGTTCCTCTCTAAAACCGAAATCTGATGGTTATAAACCGAAGAAATCGTCGACGCTTACCACTGAACAAATAATCAGTTCATTAAGGAAGCTTCAGATGACAAATATTCGTTTTCGAAGGTAACACAACTCCGCTTTTCCCTTCTATTCAATTTTTATGAACTTTTTGCAAGAATTTTTGAAATACTAAGACCCAACATGAAGGCTAAAACTGAATCATTCAACCTCACCAGCCAAAATCGTATTTAATTTACCAGACGCCTCTAAAGCAAAGCCCACTTCCGATAATTCTATGAACTATAACAACCAAGCAAAAGGAATTAAAAATACCTGTTCGCACTCGTATTTGACATTATTATTCTATTTAAAACTCTTCAAATTGATTCATTCACTCACAAAGCAATTATGTTTACTACTCATGTCTCTATCAAACATCAAATCGGTAATCGCGAGAGTAACGTAACGCTTGAATATATTGCATGTATTTTTCCTATAACCTGAGATCTAATCCCACTGCTGGATCTTCTTTTTATGTAAATCATATGATTATATATTAGTGTAACTATTAATGTACATAATAATTACAAAAATGAAACCTAATAAAATAATTTGTAGGAAATATTGCCACCAATTTTCAAATCATTTAATTGAGTTCTGACTGACAGTCAATGTTATTTCACCATTCGTTTCTACGATCAGTCGTAGAAAAAATATAGTACGCACCTCGAGTTTAAGACCAATTACGTCCACTCGCGAATTATCGCACTATGCTATCGCCTCGTGCTTACAATTTTTCGCTCGTGGGTAATTGACTCGTGGGTAATTGACTCCTTATCTCACTCGGTACGTAATATACTATGACATAACCTCAATCTAGACTGCTAATCCCATATAACATATAACAAAACTACACCCATTTACGAAATTTCAGTGAGCCTTCAGGGCATGCGCAATGAAGTTTCATGACGTTTCCAAATCACATGGGCGTATCGCAAGAAAGGGGGATTTTTTAGGGATATCATGTGAAATACTTGGTTTTCATACTTATGTTCATAGAGAAATCTACGAAACAAAAATAAACATTTGTATTATAATAGTTACTGTGTATGACTCTTCCTGTATCTATGGGCGAGTAGTAATAATATTAATACCAAGCAAAGCTCGGTACTCATAACATAAACATAAGTATGTTGTATAGGAGTGATTAATTTTTGGGAAAGGTTTTGGCTTTCTCTCCATCTTGATACAAAAAAAATGTGGGAATCTTCCAAAGAAAGGAAAAAAGCAACCAATTTTGAAAGAAGTAACTCTATACATAGATATGTAGATAATGCAAAGTAGTAACTTTCAGACACAAACTGGAAGAAAAAGCCCTCCTGAAACAGCTACTTTTATATAAACATTGAATTACACGGAAAAAAATTCTTTCAAAACAAATACTTCTATATGAACACTGAATTATACAAAAAACACTTTTCTCTACTCAGTTTGTATTCCAATTAGATTGTAATGTAACATCAGTAGAAATAATACTAAAATAATAATTGCAAACCAATGATGATGATACATTAGTATAAATAGATTTGAACAATTGAATATGGATTTGATTTTGTTTGATGGAATAGAGAAGCATTGTTCCAGACTACAATACAATATTCCAGTGAGTCATATAGTAACAGTTCTTAGCAATTCACATAGTAAATGTTACTAAATATTATTACCTATTTTTAGTGGAGAATACTCAATGCAATTTGTCAGGAAATTGCACTGTTATTTTCAATATAGTGTAAAGCAGCATCATGTTCCAATTTTCATTGGTTCCGAAACAATATTAGTTTGGGAAATTGTTTTCTGATCAATTTCTGTTTGTTTCTTTGAAACTTCATGAAATCTCAATCTGGTGTAAACTTGTATTATGAGCTTGATAAGAATTGATTTATGGTTTTCTGAAAAAGTGACAGAATCTTGATAGTGATCATCCAGATCTGAAAACACATCATTTTTAAAACGCATGAATGTGAAGTAACATTGAAGATTGGATTTCTGGAAAAAAAAATTGTGATTTGGTAATATAATACCTGTTGTTGGTACAAATATTTTGATCTGCAATTCTACAAAACGTATAACTGAAACAACATCATCGGATGGTTTGATCAATCCACTCCTGTTTTTCCTACTTATCAATAACTGTGTAAAATCTATACAATCATCTTTTGTCGTATTCACAACAACTTATACTGCTAATAAACATTTCGCACGTTCAATGACAGTTTTGATTTTTTCGATTACAAAACCAGCTACGTAAACCAAAACATTTTCAGTGATTATATTAAAAAAGGAATTCTTGGCCATAATCGTGATCATATATTACTTCCTCATGAATAAACCCATTCTTCTTTATGGAACCCAGCTCATCAATAGACACCTCTCTCTGTTTTGGTTTAGATATACTTTGGAGTGTTAAAATTGAAGTGGTGTCCAGACTCCTGAGTCACTTGAATTTTGTAAGGGTGAGCGACGCGAAATTGACTGTCTCGGATTCTCCTGCACACTCTCTCATACAGTGGCGTATTTTTGACAGATCTTACGTTTCGTCGACGTACGGATGTTAGTTGATCACTTATTGAACCAGTGGACCCAAATTCATCCACATTGAAAATAGTCCTCTCGATAGGACAATTATGGTGACCGTAAAATGAGCGAAACGCGCGTTACGTTGCCCAAACAGAACACCCATCTTGTAAAAACAATTTTATAATAAAAAACTGGCTCGAATATAAGTTACATTTCTTGCATTTCTCCTCATGATAGACTCATTGTCAACCACTTTTTAGAAAATTATGAATAATATCTTTGCCCTGTCTGTTGATTTTCTACTCACTGTTCGAAATACATAAAAACAAAATACTACTCTACAAACCCACAGATCATCATAATTATGGAACAAGAAATGCGAGACAATTCAGACAGCCAAGATTTAGACTTAAAATAGCATTACGAAATTCTCTGGACGTTATTTAACAAACTTTCATATAATATGACTGAATTGAATTTTAATTTGTTGAAAAGGAAAATTAAAGAGTACCTCACAAGAAATTGTTATTGTTTACATATTTGAAATTTTTTTTTTCGATTTTTCATTTGTCATCTACTTTGTAAATCACTTTTAAATTTAAATTCAATACTGCTTTTATATTGTTCACATTTTTGCTTTGAGGTTATGTGTAAAATCAGCATTACGCGACACATAACCGCCAAATACTCATCGAACCGCTCACTCAAAATTGGAACTGCAGAATGGACCTGATAGCCGAGGTTATGGTCAACACTTAGATCCCAAAAGCTGTGTCACCGCTCTTCTGAATATTACCGATGATATCTTTCCGGCGATTGCTGGATCTTATGAAAGCTTTTGGTCGCTTCAAACAAACTTCACTACTTGCTATACAATATATTGAATTCACAGAGGATTCAGTCGGGAAAGAATTGCTCTCTCTGTATACGGAGAATAAAGTCCCACAGGACATTATTTTGGGACCTATTCTTTTCATCATCCATACACACGAGTTCCAAAATTGTATCAATTTCAGTTGCAATCACCAATACGCAGATGATACCCAGAATTATACTTCATTTCTAGAAACTTTAGCGAACTTTCAACTAAATTCAGATATCGAATCCATCATTACCGTATCTTTCTAATTCTGTGACTCCATGAACCCTTCTGAATTCATTGAGATGTTGTTTGGTAGAAAAAAACAGTCAATCAATGCCACAACTCCATGGACATCCATATCTGAGTAAATACCTACAGGACAATGCATAGTTGAATATAATAACTGATCAGGATTCCGGGATTGTGAAATATACTTTATTTATAATATCACAATAAAAACACAACAACAACAACGCAATCATTTCTAATGACTGAGAGACTACTACTCGATCAGGAATGAGCTTTCAATCATTACATCTTGTTCTGCCATCTATATGAAACATAGTGAAGTATTACAATACAAACAGTGAATATATACAACTAACAAAGCATATGAAATCGGGTCGTTATATGAGTACAACACAACACAAAACATTTCGGGTTCTCATTAGACTTCTCTCAATTTCAATAGCCACATTAGTTTCATCATATGACGTACCTTCGCCAACTCGAAACTAGTTTATTTAAGTAGAAAAATACTTGATGAAAAAGGTTAGGTAAATAATCTTGTTTGGAGGTCTTTTCCCACCTCAACTACGACAACATAATATATAGTCCTGGAATTCCTAAAAGAGATTACCGTCGGTTGCAAATGGTTCAGAACTCATGTGTGCGTGTGATTCCAGATCTGAAAAGTCCGAGAAAGGGATAAACACAAGAGCAGAATCAGAGACCACTCCCTAGAGTCGCTATCAGATGGTTCCGGTGAGTATGAAAACTTCTTAAGCAGATTTCAAACTCACTCCTTTTGCAGATTCACTAAGAAACACTTGTTCGCGATTTGAAGACACTAGTCACTGGTTAGTTTTTGGGGGCCCCATGCAATAATTACATTCAAGTAAAGTCACGATTCTGATCTTTACTGACCGCAGTAGGTCAGATGTCAATCTTGCTGAAGTGCGTAAGAGTAAGTTGAGTACAGCTCCGGAAGAGCTTGGGTTTATAGACGAGATGGGAATTTCTGCACACAGTAAACGTGGAAAATTTCATCTTGGGACACTCAACCTGGAAGGGGGCATGGGGAGATCTGAAAAGACGTGATCACGTATCTGGGCCGCTAAGGAAAATATTGGGCTCAATATTTATAATAGACAAATTATCCATACTTGCACATTGTTCAATAAGATTATACACACAAAGAAGCCACCATATCTTCATGAAAAAATAACCTTCCGAATCGACGTTCACCACCTGAACGTACGATTCAAATCTAGACTTACGCCACCACTACATTGAACGAGTCAGTTTGGATCGTCTTTCTCGTATAACATAACTAGGCTCTATAACAAAATCCCAAATGATTTTGAGAATATGTCCATTCCTTCCTTCCAATTCAAATTGAAAAGATGTCTTTTATCAAGTGAGTTATCACTGTGAATTTCTGTTAGTTGTGATCCGTAATTTTTTGTCATGCTATGTCGAATTTTTAGGGATAATTGAAGTATATTGTAGTAATCTATAATATGTAAATTTGCTTGTTCGCTTGCAATATATTGAGTTGTGACATTCTTTTTTAATTTAGTTCAATTAATTGAGTGGAAGAAAGCATTTGTCCTACCACTCTTCAGATGCGAACCGGTGCTCAGTCTGCCTTTTGGTAGGTCATTTTGTCTGGTGCTATTGTTATTTTAGTTTGATTCTACCAATTAATCTATTAAAAACACCTTCCCAGGAGAAAACACTTTCCTCAGGAGATCATAATGACTAAATTTTACTGCTATGTTAGTGTTTTTATATGCTAGTAGCCTAACTACTACCTGTTAATAGTACCTAACTACTATCGGTTAGTACTTATTACTACCTGTTTTTTAAATACCTCTTCCTTTTCAATGCGGTCAATGGACTCAGATTATTCTTGCCAAATATGAGTTACAGTCCTCGTGGCAAAATGAAGCAAGAGCCGAATCGATCCCTCTACGAAACCCTTCATCACTTGGAAGGATCGATTGCAGCTTGAGAAATGGTTCTTATGCAGATCCTGTGACACATGTTCTAACTTACGAATCAGTGGAGAGTTGTCCTGGAAATCTTGAAAAGAAAACTGGATTAGATAATTTAGGAAACACTTGCTACATGAATAGTATTTTACAAGTGTTGTTTATAACGAAGAATTTCAAGAATCAGGTTTCGATGATGAACGAAAACGAGAATGTTTTCTATTTATTCACCAAACTCAAACACCGGTTCATGCAGCTGCAGTTTCGTAAGAATGTATCATCTTTCCCTCCAACCGATTTCCTGAAGTCTTTGAAGTCCACTAGATACTCGTTAGGACAACTAAGAGGATTGTTCCGAATTCTTTGGGTACTTGTTGAGCAGAACAATAGCAAAATCAACACTCCTGACCTCTCTGGGATGAATGATTCCGTACAGACTCTCGTCTTGTATTTGTGAATCTTTTGATGGAAAAATCCTCACTTGTTTACTTTGTAGTAAATGTTCAAGAGGTAGCAAAAGCGTATGTGAATTTCTGGAACTTCAACTAGCGTTTCCAAATATGACTAATAACCAGTCCGTGCAAAACTCATTGTTGAATCATCAGAAAATGGAACTTTTAACAGGAGATGATCAACTGTATTGCCGAACATACGCCAAACTAATTGACTGTTATAAGAAATCAAATATTAGCTGAGACACCAGTCAATCTAATGATAACACTAATGATCTTCAAATATGACTCAACCACTGACGGAAGCACTGACGGAACACTTCAATCTAGCAGACCACTATTATAATCTTCATGCAGTCATTGTTCACTGTGGTTCTGGCGTTGAATCTGGTCATTATTACGCCTTGGTCAAAGACGAAACGGACGAAACGGAGCCTCTGGAGACACCCTACATTCTGTTTTATGAGAGAGAGGATATTAGCAGATCAAGATCTTCAGATGAAGTGGTGCTGCAGGTTTTTTCCGGGTTTATTTGCAGCTGAAAAAGCAAATGCGCCACTGGAATCAATGAAGTCGGCCCGGACTGCCAATTAATTTTTGTTTTTGTTTCATAATTTCATGATTTGTATTTTGAAAATGAAGAAATGAATACATTGTATTTCCTCTAATTTGTTATGTATTTCCCCTATCCCCTACATTTTTTCATTAATATTCATCTGTTTTTATTTTGAATTATTTCATATAAGACCAAACAAAGGACTGTTCGAAATAGGACCTTGGTCGCTATTCATAGAACCCATTCGACACTTTTTTTGAACAATTTTAAACATTTCTCACTTATTGTCAGGTCTATGATACTGGATGTGCGGAACATGTTGCTTGCAGTGAGCTAATATAGTCCGTTTGGTTTGACCAACATATTCCTTATCACAATTCTCGCAGCTAATTTCGCAAATCCCAGACTTTTCTTATTTCAACGTCTTGTCTTTCAGACTGCCCAACACTTGTTAAAGTGTGAGTGCAGTTTTGAAAGCCACTCTTATATTCAATTTTTTAATGCAATTTTGTTCTGGTGTTGGTGAAAGTGTTTTTAATAGATTCATTTCACGCCAGAGATTCCAGTACAAACTATCAAGTCTACCAATGAAATTGTTCATTATTATTATTATCATTATCAAAAAATTAATGTTAATCTCCATTCTTTTGAATGACATGGAAAATAACCCTATAACACTTGAACACGACTAATTGTTTTTCATTAATATTCTTACAAAGTGCCAAGGTCGATCAAACAATAGACCCTCGTCAAGATCCCTGCCACATGTGAGAAGTTAGAATGGAACAACGGAAGAGTTATTCAAGATCATCTACATGATATATGTCTCTATATATATGTTAGTCAGTCGAGTATCGATTATCATAGGAATTCCACGATGAGTTTTCTGCTGCTTCTCTTCGCCTTGGGATTGGTAGTGGTACCTTTGGCCAATTCAAAACAATTGCGTGAGTCTTGCTTCATTTCATACATTTGTTTTTATTTACTCGTATTAGTGATTCAACGCATGATACCAGTGAATTCAAGTGCACTGATTGGATATACATTGATTTCACGAAGTGATGAATTCTGTTAAGTACGAATGAAATATTTATCATCGAATCATCTATAAGAACAATTCGTTCAGGCCAGTCTCAACACCCTACACAGTAGGTTAATGGACTGACACCTATCAGAAAACAACTACTCCCCTAGCTAATACAACGAAGGGCGTTGGATTATATCCGACAGGTGTCAGTGCAGGATTCTTCACTGAAGTTATTCCTGCATATGCTGTTGGCGATACAACTGCCGCAATAGATTTTATATGTCACAGCCAACTGATGTAAATAGCCGTTCAAACAGCTTTGACTGAACAACGCCATTCAATCACACGACTATACGTCGTTTAACCGACTTGTTGACTGCAACGTTCAACACTACAGCTAGACCAACGACTATGGACGGTACAGGCTTGCTTACTTTTGCGATTTTGTTAGACACGTCACGTGATCTCGTGACGTAACAGTGGTGACTCTGGATTGATTCAGTACTGCACTTTTAAATTAAAATAAACAAATTTCATGTAAATATTTTTCTCCCATCTTTTATAATAAACGGTATATATATAAAAAATATATATTGGTAATAAATTGTTTATAGTTGTAACACCTTTTTCTATTTATCTGACAGAAAATACATGAAACGGTTTTTATTTTTTATTATTCTCCTTGTATATTTTGTTGATCAGCTTGAGGTTGAGGAGATGCAATATTATGAGGAGTAGAGCAACTTTGAGATGTGGATGGCTTAAAATTATCCAAATTTGATTCAAGTAACATACTGATAGTTTCGTTGTGTTTTTTTTTCTGCAAGGATCTGCTATTGCGACTTGTATTCTGTAACTTCCCTCTCTTTATCAATTGTTGGATAATTTAGGTTAACACTAGGTATTGCAGTTTTTTTTAATTTACGACGCAAAGGCAAACCTATAAAAAAAAAATATTTATTTTAACCAGTAAATTGATAGAATAAGTTTCTACCTAACAAGTCATTTTCATGGTCTAGTTCATTATAGTTTTCTGTAAAATGTTTGGAACGAACAAATCCATTTTTGAGAGTGAATTTATCCCCTCTTTTGCAGCGACGAATCCATTCTTTTTGCAAAGTTGTGGAAACCATATCCTTAACAATAGGAAAAGAGTGAAATATTACATCACTAACGCCACTTTCCTTTAAAGTCAACTGATTGCTTTTGCAAGTTGACACTGCACAAATACGACAAGGCATTTTAACTAAAAATTACAAGGTTATTTAATGGTTAGACAATCATTGATATTACTTACAAAAATGTGAATATTTCCAGTTTTTACCTTAATTTAATTTGAAAATGTTCAAAAAAAAAAAAAATTCTACAATGGCAAAAAACAAACCTCAAAACGGAAGAAAATAACAGAATCTTATATGTCGTCTACTCATTACACCGGTTTAAAAAATGTCCAAAAACACAAAAAAACGACTTTCACAATAACAAACTCAATGTTTCAGAAACCTAATTGGTATAGTCAAATAAAAATTCAATCAAAATGAACAAAAACAATGTATTAGTGTCCGAAAATAATCCTCAAAAAATGTGCCATAAGACTGTGTGTTAGTCTTATGGCACCTACTAAAAGGGTCACCAGTGTTACATCACATTTGCTCGGCGCTTGTTTAACGTGGCGATATATGTAAGTAAGCAATCCTGTATGTCCATAATCGTTGCAGCTAGACGACGCTTAAACAACTCGTTAAATGGCAAATTAACTATGGTGACTATTAGTTCAGTGTGTAATTTGAAAGAATAGGAAAACTTTTTGTAATTTATTGCGAGATTATTCTTGGATTGAGTTTAAGAGGTAACCAAAAGTTTCTTCTCAATATGAATTAGAATTTACCTATACCACGTGATTTATTACTATTAGGAGACATTTGTGTTGTTAATGTTATCATTTTTGTGACTTGAGTTTTATCAATTGTTCAAATTGAAAGCTTCAATAAATCTTTCTATCTAATCTGATAACATACTAAGATTCGAGTTACTTCTCCATACATTTTGGTAAAAAAATGTATATGAACATATATTCTAACGGTCTCAACTTTGAACTACATGATTTTAAAGTTCGGAAAGTTTTTATTCAGTTTGGAATGACCATGGAACGTATCATGCATTTTTTTTTGGCCATCGGACACATATTACGCATTTTCTATGGTTTAAAAGGAACTTTCTCCTGTACAACAAAATTTTTTGCCATTGGTGCTCGTGCGGGAATAATCCTGAATAATTTCGAAGATAAATTAATATCCTACTTGATATTCAAGCCTCCAGGATGGTTTTAGCCCTTTCAGGTACGCACACGTCTTCAGCCAACAGGACCCTGATCGTCTCTTCGCTTCTTCCATGAAGCACCAGCTCTTCTTCTCCAACATGTAGGACGCCGTCTAGAAAATTCAGCTCGAACCCTCTGGAATTCATTATGTCCATTCCAATGATCGCATCGTCCTCTATCCGCCACCAATGCACGATGTTTCAATTTAGTGCTGCCCAACACCAATTCAATTGGTAGTTCTCCAAGTACAGTGTCTGGCTCCCCTGTTGCGGTGCGTAGCTTCCAGCTTGACGGTTCGATTGTTGTCGGTTTTTTGGCAAAGGTTGGCCCCAGAATGGTTCTCGTCGCACCTGTATCTAGCAGCATGGTGCAAGGCTCGTTGTTGATAAGGCCGTCTACGAAAACACCTTTGTCTTGTCGTTGGAGAACTGCAACATATGCGTTTTTTACGGGGACTCTCTGGGTACAGGCCGACGATTGCCTCTTCTCATCGACCCCCTTTAGTTTTCCTGATTTGGTGTCGATTCTTTGAAAGCTGGATATTTGCTACGCACATGTCAATTTTCCCACAGTTCCAGCATCTTATTTGTTTCCTCTCAGGCAACACTTCTTTCATTACTTTTCAGATGGTGGCCTCAATATCAGCAGGCACTTGTCCATCTTCTTCGATATCTCGAACTTTGCTCTGGCTCTTGCAGGATTGTTTTGCAGCCTCAAACTCCAGAGCGCTTGCCAGTGCATCCACGAGATGTTTGGGATGAGCTAGTGTCAAGGCCTGCCTTGTTTCTTGGTCGCGAAGTACGTCCAAGAATGCCTGAACTGCTAACCGCTCCATTACATTTTCCGGTGTAGCAGGATATGCTTGACGAACCAATCGAGCTATATCGGCTTCAAACTCCTGTAGAGACTCTCCTGATTTCTGACAGCGGTTCTTCAGATGTCCATACCGTAGTTCAAGATGTTTTATAATTTGGTCATAGTCTTCCGGCAGTAATTTTCCCAGGGAGTTTTTCCGTCGAACTGGGGCGGCTTCATGGAGAGCTTTCCTGATTCAGAACTGACTTTGACATCTTTCAGTTCCTGAATTGAGTTTTCGGTAACCGTTTCTGTGGGGTGGGCAGAATTAATTTGGTTTCGCAACTTGCTAATAGTTTCCTTTATCTCGCTGATTTCTGCCTCAAATCCGCCTTTGATTTCATCGCCTAATTTCTCTTTCATTCCCTTGATTTCTGCCCCGATTTCATCTTTGATCTCTCCTTTGATTTCCTCTCTGATTTTGTCTACCTCTGTTTCGATGGTACCTATTTTTTCTTCGAGGAGACTCGCCACACCACAAAGTTCTTTCTTTAAGCCTTCTGCATTTTCTAGAAGGTTCTCCTCCAGGCAATTCGAATTTTGTTGAAGTTCATCTTCGAATTTTCCAGAAGCCTGTCTTCGAAACTCTTCGACTTTTCTAGAAATTTATCTTTCAAGCTTTTCGAATTTTCCAGAAGCTTGTCTTCCAAATTCTTCGAATTTTCCAGAAGCTTGTCTTCCAAACTCTTCGAATTTTCTAAAAATTCATCTTCCAAGCTTTTCGAATTTTCCAGAATCTTCTCTTCAAGGCTTACCGAATTTGTTGAAGTCCATCGAGTTTGCTTATTATTGAACTCAAATCACCCCCAGAAACTTCGAATAAATATGTTTCGGGATCTTCTCCTGATTCCTTCAAATTAACCCACAGTCTCTTCTGGAGTACTGATTTCTTTCCAGAACAATCTAGCTCCCTCTCTCTCCAACTTTCATGTCCACTAGGCGCACTTTCCTTGAACACATTTTGTCTCTTACTGTCTATTTTCCACAAAACTGAATATGTCCACTTATTTAATGGAGTCCGAAACACTTATTTATTTCATTGTAATACAAAGATTGTTCACCAAGCGTTCACAAATTTATTTTAAAAATCCACTTCTGATCACCAATTGTAACGAAATGAAGAATTAACTGTCTTGAACAAATTTATTTTTAACAATACTTCACTATCACAACTAATTTATATATACCACTTAGCAACTAACACTTAATTCATCTGAACTGTATGTTAACCGCTCGATTCGCTTTCTAGATACAGACTACCGCTCGGGACGAGAAGCGGCCTTTTTTTATATCGGCAACGAACGCTCCAGATCTCTCTAGTGGTTTCGGCACTCATCTATGCCTTTCGCGGTGGTTCGTGGAGTGCATTCCTTTCGCGGTGAGTCATTGTTTATTTGCTGGCTGAGATATCGGTCAGGGCCGGCTTCAGATTCATTACAACATCATTTGGATTCCAGGACATCGGCTACGGAGGCACATCTTCACCGGCATCAGAAGGATCTAGAAATGATTTTGAATCGGGGTGAAAGTAACCAGGTTCAATTCAATGTCACAAAAATTCAGGCATCTGTTTTCTCCAAGAAGATAAATGTCTCTGAACCGGTTATACTAATGTCAGGTCAGACAATTCCGCATTCTGCTTCGATGAGTTTGTTGGGGGTTAAAATGGACACCAATATGTCTTGGCACAATCATGTCGCTAGAATTGCAAAGGCTGCTTCGCAAAAGCTTGGAACACTGTTCTGAACCAGAAAACTGTACACACCTCAACAATTTTTGATGCTTTATAAAGCTCAGATCAGACCTTCTTTGGAGTATTGTTCGGTACGCTGTTGATGTGCTTCAGAAAGGTGTCTAGTTCTGTATTCCCATGGTTCCATACTATGAAAGTGTCGTCAACGTATCTCAACCAAACTCCTCAATGGCCAGAGTTTCGAACCACTTCACATATATGTTGGCTATAATTGGTGAAAGTGGCGATCTAATTGGCAGTACCTCATTTTGCGTAAAGAATTCGTCCTTTAGTTGGAGATAACAGTCCCATACACAACATCCTAGTACGTCCATGATCACTTCAATAGGCGATTTCTTTCTATTTCTCAGGTCCTCATCTTCAGATAGCTTCCTCTGTATGATTTGAAGTGAAGTACAATATTGTATTCGTTTGAAAATGTCCTTACAGGACGAAACTGCAGTAACGTTAAGTGCAAATACAAGAGATAAAAAACATAGGAAGTTTTACCTATCATTTTTCAATATTGTATTATTGTTTGCCGAATATAATTCATCGTGGTGTTAACCTGGAAAAAAGTTTTCATTTTCGGCTAACTAATGTCAGATCCTGTTGTGCAGGAACTTAAACTAGGTTTCAAGTTGTTTTTCATTTGACACCACGCTTCACTGGTAGCTCCTGTCAATAAACTAGGTTTTCACATTCATACTGTATATTAGTTCATATCTTGAAAGTTATTGAAACAATTTTTATGAAACTTGTACTGCTCCCTAATGCGAAATAAGTTTGTCATGAAAAAGGTTATTCTGGCAATGCAATACCTTGTCTAGAAAGTGCTGAAGATGGGATCCTTCTTTCTGATGATTTTGCTATATGCAACCTTTTTAGTGAGTATTTTTCAACTGCTAGCAGTAGCATATCCAAACCTGATACTAAAAATATTAATTATATGTCATCTTCACATCAAAGTATTTTTTTATATCCAGCTAAGATGGAAATTGAACAAGTTATCAAAAAAGTTTGTAAGAAAAAATCGTCCGGTATTGATGAAATTCCTGGTCTTGTTATAAAAAACGTTGCCAATGTAATTTCTGAGCCTTTTGACTCATATAGTTAACTCCACTTTCATAGAGGGGAGGTTTCCTGATATACTGAAAATGTCAAAGGTTTTGCCAATATATAAAAATAAGGGCTCTAGATCTGACTGTGCATCTTACAGGCCTATATCGCTACTTAGTCAGTTTTCTAAGATTATTGAATACTGTTTGTATCAAAGATTATATGATTACTTTGAATCATTCAGATTATTTTCTTCTAGTCAGAATGCTTATAGAAGAAATAAATCCACTGTTGGTGTAATTGATCAACTCATTAAACATGTGTTGGAAATCTTGGAAACCAAACAGCAGACTCTGGGGTTATTTTTTTATTTGAGCAAAGCTTTTGACCTCATTAACCATGACATACTGCTACACAAATTGCAGTTTTATGGTATACGTGTCCTGCATTGAATTGGGTTAGATCTTACCTGACTGGCCGTAGTCAGCTGGTCTATGTGAATGGAATTAACTCTGTAAGTAAATGTATAGTAAGAGGGGTACCTCAAGGCTCTGTTTTGGGACCTCTTTTATTTTTGGTTTTTATTAACGATCTTCCGAAATTTTGTTCGAAAGCTTCCATTATTATAATTTTTGCGGATGACACTAACATCTTGGTATCTGCGGAAACTATGTCCGAAGTAATTGTCAAAGCTAATGAAGTAACTGATCAAATTGAGGAGAGGTGTTCTACAAATGACCTGCTGCTAAATTCTGCCAAATCTCAAATGCTCAACTTTGTTACTAAAAATATAACTATTGATAAAAGCTATTTGGTAATTTTTTATAATAGTTTGACCTGTTGTATCAGCCAGTATTTTATGATGATGTTTGCCTAATGTGATTGTAAATGAAAACTGATTCAATAAATGTTTGATTGATTGATTGATATTCGGAGAAATGCATAGACAAACATATATAACAGTTATACCAATTTTGTATATTTTTGTGTAGAAACCGCAATAAATCAGTATATGTGACAAAACTGTCGAATTCCATTTGTTCGGACCTCCTTTGTCTAATCTAATATATAAAAATGGATGTTTGTTGGTGGGTTGGTTGGTAAGTGATAAACTTCTACATCGCTCAACCGATCGTGATGAAACTTGACATGTATAAGTAATTTTTCATAGAGAAGGTTTTTAGGCTATCAATTTTTCAGTAACAAATCACTAGATGGCGCTGTAGAACATTTTTTTTTGAAAGCACTGTTCTATAACGCTGCGCACGTCTAAGTTCGTTGATTCTGATTCTGTCAAACATTGGAACAGCAGCGATACAGCAACATAGTACTAGTATGATATAAATTGATTTGAATTCCCTGAAAAAATCTGTAAAAATCAAAAAGATTAGCTGAAAAAGCAATTATATTAAGCAAATAAACTGAAATTACAATGAAATAAAATACAAGCAACAACCAAAAAATCAAAAAATTGAAATATTAACAGTAGATGTCCACAACGAATTGTCATTTGTATTTCGAAGACCCACTCACACGGGACAATATCTGAACCGGGAATCCAAACACCATCAATCTACTGAGAAGAATCATCAAGACTCTAGTAGACCGTGCTTTTGAGCTCTGTAATACAAAGGGAAGTCTCGAAAAGAAACTAGGCATCATCAAAAATTACCTTCAACGGAATGGTTACTCCAAAGTGATGGTGGAACAGAATTTAGCTAAAAGACAGCAAGAGCCTCACAAGGAAGAGAAGTCGCCGCAACCAGTACTTGTACCCTACATCAGAGGATTGTTGGAAAGGATAAGAAGAATTAGGTCCAAGTATAACATCAGAACCTGCTTCAGATCTGGGCAACCTCACACAAACCAGCCCACCAAACGCGTACTGTAATTCCAAGAATTGCATTTACCAAATATCCTGTGAGTGCGGAGAATTATACATCGGTGAAACTAAGAGGCCATTGAAAGTTCGCATTGCCGAGCACAAGAAACACACACAGCGCAGCGGGGAATAGCGGAGCATGTTTGGACTCATCAACTGGGCTCAAACTGAAATCATCCACAAGGAGGAACACTGGTTTAGGAGAAAATTCGAAAAAACCGCATATATGTTGTCCAACAACGCATTTAACCAAGCTAGCGTAGAAATACACAACATATGGAAACCTCTAATCAAGTGGAAGACGACCAACGCCCACCAAACGGTCACCTCCGGCTAAAAACCGATGAAGCGGAGAGAAGGAAGAGGTGATAGGTGAAAGCATTCGAATGAGCTATAAATAGTCAGATCTCGGAGAAATAAGTCCAGTCATCACCCGAAATCAATTGTGGATTCTAACAATCGAAATAACGTGAAGTAACTTGGTTCGGTTTTTAATTTTCATTTCTTGTTAATAATTTTTTTTAATGTTATCTCGTGTTGATATTTCAATTTTTTTGGTTGTTGCTTATATTTCATTTCATTATAATTTCAGTTTTTCGCTCAATATAATTGTTTTTGCAGCTAATCTTCTTTTTAATTTTTACTGATTATTCCAGGGATTTCAAATCAATATATCATATCAAACAATGGAAGTCCGAACTAATGAAATACACCACGAAACATTGTCAACCACCTTCAAACAAATGTCGAATTGATAATTTATATTTTGGAGTCGGTAACAACCCACTGAAAGTGATAGATTTTTATGGGTGAACAAAATCAATTTGCATAGAAAAGAAAGATGCCGAATATGAAAACTGTAAATTTATGAAAATATATGTACCTGTATCAATTCAAAATTCATTTTGAATTTTCGAAAACTATAATTGAAATCGGAGGCATTCAGGCCAAGGATGATTTCAGTTTGTCAGTCTGGTGCACGCTGTGAAAAGCATGTTTCTTCAAATTTAGCACAGGTGTGATTGTTTTTTCAACAGATAATTTTTTCAGCTTCCTACATCAAACCATGTAGCAAGAGCGATCTCAACCTAAATGAATGTGCAAAACAACGAGGAACTGAGGCAATACCATTATTGATAAGAGGTGTGTGAAACAAAAATTAAAATTTTTTTAACAAATAATATTTATTATTCATATACTGCTCAACAAGTGCTCTAGCACAAATACTATTCAACATTTATATACTGCTCAACAATTGCACTGGCTACAGTAATAGCCGCTCAAAGTGAGCGGGTTTATTCCACTCTCACTATAACCGCCAAAGATTCACTATGACTCCAACTCTGCCAGATAATTTCGTCTTCATAATGAAACCGATTAGTTCAAATGGTAAAGGAGGTTTCAGTCTAGAAACCAAAAGTTTTGGAATAGGCCAATTTTGGTAGATTTTTGCCAGAAGTCTGAAACTCTTCTTACAGTCTAAGTATCCAGTCTTTGTTTGCCAAAGACTAAAGCGATGCCACTTGAAGGTTCTGATCAGAAAAAACTCCTTGCAGCTCCCTCCCCAGAGATTTTCAGTGTTTCGATCTTCAGTCTAGTTTGAAGGCCGTCGTGGCTTGGAACTGTATCCTAACGTATAACCTTGGAGTCAAGTGATATTCTGGTCAGTTTTGACGTTGTGTTCTTGTTCACCAATGTCCTGCTGGAAGATTCTCTGAGAGAGGTAGCCAACTTGTTTTCTAGTGATATTGTCGGACTCTTCAAGCACTACCTCACGGAAAGTTACTTTCAATGGAGAGGAGATTTCTATGAGCAGTTAGAAGGCAATCGACGCTTTTGATTTCAAACCAGCCATTTGGCTAAGATACTTCGATGACACCTTCGTTATCTGGAGACATGGGAGGGACAGACTGAATCTATTTTTAGACCACATAAATGCTCAACACCATAGCATCAAGTTCCCATGGAGACTGAACAGGATCAACGAAGAGCTTTTCTAGATGTACTCGTCGAAAGGCGTGGCACAAGACTGACACATAAAGTGTACCGAAAACCGACACATACGGACAGACATCTGCATGCACTTTCGAACCACCATCCAAGTCAAAAGGGGGGAATTATCAACACCCTGACGGAACGTGACCGTAGAATATGTGAACCGGAACACATACAAGAAGAATTGGAGCATCTTGAAGAAGCTTTAAGATCGAATGGATACAGTGTAACCGAGATCAACAAGGTCATGAAACTGAAGACTTCTACAAGTCAAAATAGGGAGGAAACTCAGACGGTCGCACGTGTATTTCTACCGTACATCCCTAGGGTTACAGACATAATCGGAAAAATCTTAAGGAAGCATAACATAAAAACAGTGTTCAAGCCCACCAGGAAAATACAACAAAGCCTGATATCTGAGAAAGACAAAAGAGGTCCACTATCAGCTACGGGGGTATATCGTATATACCATGCACTTGCGGAAAAGTTAATATCGGTACGACCAAAAGGTCCATGGGTAAAAGGCTGAATGAACATCGGAGAAACTGTAGATTAGGTCAAATAGAAAAATCGGCACTAGCAGAACACGCGTGTAGTAAAGGAGATCATACGATACTGTTTGAAGATGTGAAACTACTCGCACCCGATCATGGATACCACAGTCGGCTTGTCCGAAAAGCCATACAAATCCATAAACATAAGGCGATAACGCTTAACCGGATTTGGAATCCCATACTAAAAGATGCTAAGGTGGCAACAGTGCAATGCAATGTAACGTCATCAATAGGTAATAACACTTCGGCCAATAGCAACGCATCAACAAGAAAGGCGGGTTACCTGAGTGAACATAAATACAACTTACGAACCTCTGGAGAATCCAGCCACGTGTGCTGGCGAAACGTTAGGATACAAATCCAAACCATGACAGCCTTCAAACCCGAATGAAGATCGTAACACCGAGGACTATCTGTTTTATCTTCCTATCGAGAATGTTCTTTTTTAGCAGTTCACTATCAACTTGGACTTCGCTCGCTTAGCTACAAAAGTACTAATATCGATTAGAAAATTAATAATAATTAGTTAACTTCCATGGTAGGTTTGTAACCGAAATTGAAATTATTAACGAATTTTTTAGGGGAATGTCTTATGTATAGTTCATCTTTCACGATACTTTCTCATCAGGATATCGATGTACAAGACTATGACTTCGTTTTTATGTCGACAGTTTCAATCTCCTTGAAAACTGAATTGAAAATATTCAATAGTTTTCTAATTGCTACATTGAATAAAGACAGATATATTTCAAAGTTGTTTTCGACCAAGTCAAAGCCATTGAGAAAAATGTAGTCATTGAGTGGTAACAAAAATTCGTTGTCACACAGTCATTTGGACTATTTAATTGTAATTTTTGTGGCATTCAAATTGATGAAGTGAGTGGCTTTCCATGTTATTTGAAACATCAATAATATTACAGTACTTTTCAAAAAAATGTGACAGCATAAAAAGAAATATGTAATGTTAAGAAGCTGGTTGTTGATTGTAGCATTTTCTGAATGATATGAAAATCATAAACCTACTGTTCGAAGAATAGGCTTCTGATTCTTCAGCTGATTTTAAAAAGTTGACGAAAGAAGCTCTGGCCAAAAACAGGGCTACAGAAATATTAATTGAATGAAACTTCAATGCGGCAAATATCAAAATAGACCAGCCATTTTCCATAATCAGAGACATTCAGAAAGCATTGAACGGTGCCATCAACCGGAGCAAATTCCACATATTCAGTTCATGTTGAGTTGGTTAAGACTATAAAAGCCATTTGACATGCAGAAAACACTTTTCTTTGTAAACCATAATCGAGGTTTTTTTATGTATGTTCTCTGTAGACAGAGATTTGGTACTTCAATGCAGTAAATAGATTCTGCGGCAAAATAATAATTTTGACGAAAATCTGATTCAAAGAAAAAAGCATTAAAAATTAGATGATCCCAAAATAACTTATTTGGGTAAATCTTATCACGAGCTACAGACATAAATTTTCATTCAAACAAATTATTTATAATGCAAAAATTATCATTCTGATCGTTGCCATTTGACGATCCGAAAGCATTCTTCAGTAGAAAAATGAGTCTACCAGAGAGCAGAGACCAGGTTGCTAGTGCCCAAAAACATTGAGCAAGCCATTTTATAGAAATTGCAAATCACACAAATGGGTATCGTCAAAATGAAATTATCAACCATTTTCTGGTGACCTTCTTGAGATACCAAAATTGATAACATCAATAACACAATGAAGCTTGCTTTATGCATGGCAATCATCCGCCCAAATCAAGTTTGATAACATGCAACTACCCGAAAGAACTTTGAACCTAACCTAATCTAACCTAACCATAGCGGTTTCTGGTGACTTTTTTGTTCATAGCGACAAGTGAAAAATTTTGTTTGTCATGTTACACATGAATATTCAATTCATTGGGGACTAGGTAGTGACTTATTCCATAGTAAAATAATTCAGGAAAAATCTCAAGATTTGCACAAAAACTGGCTCTTATAGATTCATAGATGCACGATGTACTCACAGAAGAGGCTGATATCTGGTAAGTTAACACCACCATGTACAACGCCATTCCAGCACTTTCCCAACCGGAAAGAAGGAATTGCCACCTTTTTGAATCGGAAACTTGAATGGCAAATACACAAGATGGAAGCTGAGATCAACTGTGTGACGACTAATAGGCCTTTCACGCCCGCTGTGCGGCGAATAGCAGCTTAACTTAGACATGCACATCACACTTTGAGTCTGAGTATGTTACTAACCACCAAGCAGGATTACTTTGATTAGATATGGATTGGATCAAAAGTCTGCACATATTGTGGAAGATCATCAACTACTGATATTGGGGAATTCTTTTGGAAGGGTTGAGGGCATCCACAACCCCTCAACCTAGACTCCAGCCTAACCGCAGTTCGAAATTTTGTAGCGAATGTAAGAATGTAAGAATTTTGTAAAAATGACCTGCGTGGATCAATAGCCATCGAAGAAATTCGAAGAGACGTTTGGGTTCTGAAAACGTTGCTGCCCTGAATACTCATTGGTGGATAAAACTACCAATGGCTACTAGTGACTACTTATCATTCAGAATAGAATAATATTCGCCGTGAAGTTTTCAGATCCTAATGAGACGAATGTCGCGCCAAATGGGCTACAAACGAATGGAATTCTGATATTTTTTTTCAACATCCAATAATGACAATTCTTTCATTTATTGTAGTCATTCGTGAAAGAGTATGCCACATTAAGGTAGAAACCGTGTGTGAAGTAATCGCTGGTTGATAATGCGCTGGTTCGCCCTTTCGAATGTTAATTACGAAAAATGTAGCCACTTCAATTGTTGAGCAGTGTTTTGAATGGGGTCAAATTATAAGTTACAATTCATCCAATGGAGTGTTAGCCGTTGTTTCTGGGTAAATGATGATAATAACTCGTTCTAGGTGATAAAGATTATAAAATACCAAGTTTCGAGCCTGCCCATATTTCTCTTGTGGACGTAGATCAAGGTGAACTGAAGTTCAAGTTGAAAGATGTACAATTGTTTGGTTTGAACACTTCCCGTATCCTAGATGCTAAGTGAGTACTTTTTGAATTTGCAATCTGAACCTGAACTCACAATTTGTCTCAAGGAGATGACAATAAATTAAATAAAATTCGAATTGTCATAAGAAGAGAATTAATTTCAATGTAAGGTCTGCAATGACGTATTGTGTATTGTTACAATCTTCATTCGGGTTTGAAGGCCGCCATGGTTTGGAACTGTATAATAATAATAATAGTAACCTTTATTAACCATATGTGTATGAAATCTAACAACAAAGTAATAGTATGGTTAGAAGGAGCCCGATCAGTCAAGACTGGTCTTCCTCGGGAACCTGGGATACAAAATAAAAAAAAAACACTAAGATTAAAGAATAAAGATTTGAAAAGTCACAAAGATAAGTAGTTATATAATTATCATTGAAAAATAGAGGGGATTTAAAAAAGACATATTAACTAAAATTTGTGGTGATTACATGAACTTATATAATCAAACATTGCTCCTCATGAAGTTTTTTCTGTAGGTGTTTACGAAACCTGACAACTGACATTGTTTTCAGATTTCCAGGGAGTAAGTTGTATGCTTTGATCAGATTGTGAGAGAAGGATTTTTCGAATTGTTTAGTGCGGTGATGGGGAATTGTGAGTATTTTTTTATGCCTTAAATTCAAATTGTGAACGTCTGTCCTGTATCTAATTTTTTCAGTGAGATAAGAAGGAGTTTTATTTATTATCACTTCATGTAATAGAGATAGGCCATGATGTTTCCACCGATTACTCATATACAACCATTCCGTAGTAACTAAGGTATGAGATTCTTTCGAACTTCCGGATGCCAAAGATAAGTCTTGGGTAGGAATTTTGCAGTTTTTGGATTCTAGATGTATCTCTTGCAGTCAGACAGGGCCCATAAACGAAATCGCAATAGCTGGCTTGGGATAGTACCAGAGAGTTGCATTAAAGAGTTTTGAGTGACCTACTCATAATATGTCTATGACCATATAAAATTTAAGTTTTGCGTAAGATTATCCTAACGTTTCGCCAGTATGAGTGGCTGGCTTCTTCAGAGGTGAACCATCAAGATGACTAACTCTCTGAAGAAGCCAGCCACTCGTGGTGGCGAAACGTTAGAATACAGTTCCAAACCACGACGGCCTTCGAACTCGAATGAAGATTATTAGAATGAAAATCTCGGCCGCGAAAACCTCAACCAATTTATCACGTATTGTGTAATTCGATAATACATTTCAGTAAAAAAACAAAAACTAAATATAAAAAAAATGAAATTTAGACATGAAGAAACAACGTAAGTTGGACAGTCATTTGAAAAAGTTCATACTGGTTAGAACCGTCCAACGGTCCAAGTATAGAAGACACGAATTATTTATTTATTTATTTACGGCAATGCCTATTTTTTACAAGATAATTAATAAGTTCACACATATGTATTTAACAGTAATCGAAGCTAGGTTTAAGGAAAAAATATATAAAATAAAATTTAAAAAAATCGTAAAAATAATGAATTACAATCTTTTCACAGTCTTTCTAAATGTTTCCAAAGAAGAATTAAAAAATTCTGAATCTGCATTGTATGTATTTGCAAGTCTCAAAATTCTACCTACAGATTCATTCCAGCCATAGTTGGTGCGACAAAAGGGTACTTTGAAGGATTTCGAATTTCTTGTTCTCCTTGGATTCACATTTGAAGTTATAAGTTCGACCAGTTCCGGGGAATTGATGCTACCATTGATTATTTTATGAATTAGTGTAAGATCTGCTTCTGATCTTCTATGAGCCAGGTCCAATATAATTTTATAGTTATATTCACCAATATGATATCCCAGTTTATATGCAGAGTACCTTAAAAACTTATTTTGAACACTTTCAAGCATATCAATATCCACATGATATGAAGGGCACCAAATTGTGGAATTGTATTCAATTATTGATCTAACAATTGAACAATATATGATTTTTATTGAAGTCAGAGATAATTCATTTGCAGATCTAAGAATGAAACCTAACATTTTTAGCGCTTTAGAAATAATATTTGCAATATGGGGTTTGAATGACATTTTTGGGTCGAGAGTGATTCCTAAATCTCTGATTGTGTTTGTTGTTTTCAGTTCTGATTGATTGATTTTGTATGGCCAGTTAATGGGATTTTTGTTTCGGAAAAAAGTAAATTTTTGACATTTGTCTATATTTAATTGCAGTAGATTTATATCACACCAGCGAACAAAGTTAGATAAATCGTACTGTAATTATTTTGTATCAGTTGAGTCATGAATAACTTTAAACATATTCAGGTCATCAGGAAACGAAAGAAATTCACTATAAAGAGTAACATCTTTCAAGTCAACATAGGTTGAAAAGCAATAGCCCTGAATGAGAACCCTGTAATACACCCGATGAAACTGTGAATGAGGAAGATACCGAGTTACCATATTTTACAAATTGTACTCTGCAGCCTAGATAATTTTCAATCCATTTCATGTTTTCTTGAATACCCAAAGCGTTTAGTTTATGCAACAAAAAATTGCGGTTCACTCAGTCTTTGAAAAATCTGTGTAAATAGAATCCACCTGGTGTCTATTTTCGAAGGTATTTATTATACAGTTTTGATAAATGAGCAGATTTGTGCTGGTAGATCTACCACTACTGAATCCATGTTGTCTACAATATATATCTACAATCCCATGTTAGCTTTTTTGTAATTAGGCAGTCTAACAATTCGGGTAATTCTGATTGATTACAGACTGCTCGATAATTGTTTATATCATTATGTGATCCACTTTTATAAATAGGTTTTGAACCGGAATAAAGAAATCAATACGATGGCTATACAAAATACCATACCGATATAGAAGGCCCCGCCACTCTGTCGAATGAGTTCCTCATGTCCCCCGTTAAAGGATGAACAATTTTTTCATCCATCCCACCCCAACCAGGTAGAGGTACCCCGTGAAGGGCGGTACTGATGTCTGAGGACTTTCATACCGCCACATCTCTTTAGTCATGAACCCATTTGTCTTTCTGACGAAAATCAGCTGTAAGGGTAAGGGAGCTAGCCTCCAGCCTGATTGAACAGAGGATGAACTTGGTCCAATAGGCTTTCTACCTTCACTCAAACGAACCAACTGTAATAAACGGCCAACCCAAGTTCAATTTTTGGGGGGTCATATGATACCTGTAGTTGAAAATTCATTTTTGTCCAATGCCGCCAGTTGTAAAAATCTTGAAAGAGTGAAAACAAAAACTCAAGTGGGGTTGTTAAGAAGTCTTGCACTGCTTAAATACTATAACGACTGGGATACGGAATGCTGTACAAAGAAAATGGAACAGGAAAATTGAAAAATCAATTGTTGAATTCATCCTGTTCGTTCGTTTATTTATTTTTTAGGGTGAATTTAGTAATTGAAAAATGACTCCCTTTCTGTTGATAGATTGATATGGTACACACATTTAGTTTTGACGACAATGCAATTTAATGAATTCTGTATCATTGTATTTCCAAGATGTCCGCAGCTTCAAAATGGTGGACTGCATATTGTTTCACAACTACCTCAATATGGGTATCAAATGGCAGGGCTTCACTAATAGAATAATAGTACCTTGTGAAAACGATGCAAATTCAAGATGGCCTCATCTACAAAATGACAGATTACATATTACCTTGTAATACTGAGGCGTAAAACGAATTGAACAGAATAAGAATTGAGTAACAAAATTGGAAACTGAAATCTTTATGATACAATAATTCAAAATTTTTTATGGTTAACGGTTTCATTAAAAAAAAGATAATAATGATGTAGATAATGTACTAAAAACTAAAAAATAATTCGAAAGGTTCCAGGTAGCAGTCATCACACCACTCTCCTCAGTATTGGTCAAATAAAAAAATAATAAAATTGTTGAAAGATTATCCCTTTACAAATTTTCAAAATGATTGTTTATAATAAGCTTTCGCATGTTTCTGCCTCCGTTCAATACATTTTCATCATCTTGGTCTCCTCTTCCTTCTTCTTCAACTTTAATGTGTTCTTGGACAAGCCACTCAGGTAGAGGTTCATCGCTCCAACCAATAGCCATATAATATAAAACCGCTGTTGCTATAATGACGGCCATAATGGTGTTAAGTTTGAGGCGCATTCCGAAGCTCAGAACTGGGAATCGTTTTTTCCACACACTATATTGTCTCTCCACAACATTTCTTGTTCTGATTATGGATTCATTGTATACATTTTCTGCCTCATTCATGACCCTGCGCAACTTGGTCATCAAGTATGGTTCAAGATGATTACCGCTGTCTCCTATCAAAATATATGGCTCATACTCGTCAGGTTCGAACAGATTTTTCAAAATACTATTGTTAAAAATGGTTTGGCCATGAGCCGAGCCTGGCCAACGAGCGGCAATGTCCTCAGTATTGGTCAGATAAAAAAAGTATAAAATTGTTGAGCTAGTATTTACATATCGCTGCTCCGGAACAACAATGACGTAACTGCATATTTTGAAATTGTTCAGGAGGCGCAAAAACCTAAAATGGCATATTTTGAAATTGTTCAGGAGGCGCAAAAACCTAAAATGTATCACCTTTACAATTCAATAATTCTTGATTGCGAATAACTTTGGTATTGAACCCCAGGCATATAATACATTCATGGGTATGTATTACAAGAAATTAGAGGGTATCCAAAATTTCATTTCATTTTGGGGTTTTTCGGGAAGGGTTTCGGTTTCATTTCTGCAAATGCGTCATTGTTGCGCTGAATGTTTTTGACTACTCCTATTGCTGGTATGGTAGCAAAAAAACCAATAAAATGAAAATTGTTCTAGAAAAATTATTACTCATTTTTTTTTACAAGGTAAAAACTTCATTTGTGAAATTATAAAACAACATTAAAAATTAATTGACGCTACGAGGCGACTTAATTGATTCCAGTGGTGCATTTTCTTTTCGAGCTGTAGGAAAACTCGGAAAAACCTGCAGCATCACATAATAAGAACTTGACCTCCACCAGTTTTCGTTAAGA